ATATCAAAATCTCTGCAGATCCTCTCCCTTTGTCCGCACCCATCAGGGATTTTTCCCCTCAAATGATTATCATATTGTGAAGAAGGTTGAGAACCACTTATACTAGACCTTAGTTCTAAGGTACCTTTCAGCTAAAATATTGTTATTCTGTGAACTTACATAGTCTTTTTTTTTTTTTTTTCTCAAATATATATTGATTTCAGAGAGAGGAAGGGAGAGGGAGAGAGACAGAAACATCAGTGATGAGAGAGTCATTGATCGGCGGCTTCCTGCATGCCCCCTACTGGGGATTGAGCCCGCAACCCGGGCATGTGCCCTGACCGGGAATCGAACCGCGATCGCCTGGATCCTAGGTTGCCGCTCAGCCACTGAGCCACGCCCGGCCAGGCTTACATAGTCTTTTGAAATATAAGAACATTCGACTAATCAAACCAGGAATTAAATTAGAAAAAATAGGGGAACAAAAACACTTTTTATGGTAATAGTTAAGGAAAAGTAGTAGGTAGTGAAATAATATTTGTGTAGAAACATGTAACTTTAGAGCTCTGATTTTCTCGTTCTGTAATAATTGTTAAAACTGAATATGGCCAGATTGGTTAAAGTGTTTCTCTCTGCAATTCTCTGCCCCCCCCCCCAATATTATTAAGAGAATACACACACACACATACACACATACACACACACATTTAACAAGAGTTTGTTCTAATATTAATTTTGAACTCTAACATTTAATATTTAACAATTGTCACCAGGAGCTTTGAAGGAAGAACAGATAACATAAAATAACACAGTGTTGACATCAGTAATTTACCCAACCCAGTGACACATAATTCTGTTTCTCAAAAGTGCATTTAATATGAAATTTTCAACTTGTTTGATCATAGGACTTCATTGTAAACACTCTTCTAATGTAGGAAATTACTTTGTGTGTGTGGAAAATTTTGCCTTTGGATTTCTTAATCCAAGTTTTATCTTGTTTGAATTTAGAAATTTATTTTTACTGGCTGTCAGGCAGATATTTTCCTGTTTGTAATTCAGGGACGCTTTAAAGGCCAGAGACAACAGTTTTGTTGTTGCTAAACATTTTTTGTTGAGTATGTTTGGATCTCCTACCTGTCTGCATTTGGCTGATTATATATTAAACTTCTGTAGTTTGATATTGACATTCTTTGAATTCCATTATTATTTAGCTTTTTTTTTTTTAAATATATCTTTATTGATTTCAGAGAGGAAAGGAGATGGAGAGAGAGAGATAGAAACATCAATGATGAGAGAGTCATTGATCAAGCCAGCAACCCAGGCATATGCCCTGACCGGGAATCGAACCCTGATCGCCTGGATCCTAGGTCGACGTTTAACCACTGAGCCACGCCCAGCCAGGCTTATTTAGCATTTTTAATATAACAGTGATTACAAATCATTTTATTTACTAATATTTCATGTAAATTAGTCATTATGAGCAATAAAGTACAGTGGAAAGAGATTTGCCCTGAGACTTCATTTGATTCAAATTAAATGTTAGCACTGGTTTTGGGACTATCTTAGCCTATTAATAGCCTAGCATCTTTTTAAATATTATATCATTATTGGTGTTATCTTGATTCCTTTCAGAAAAAAGATATGAGTGAATCAATAGATGAACAAATAAAATGTGATGCCTCTTGTTTTTTTCCTGTATTATATTTTCTGTCTCTAAGTGTAGTATCTGACAATGGTTTGTTTTTGGAGAGTAGAAGCCATGTGCCAGGTTGATATTCCTATTCTGCTGTGTTTTAATCTAGTGCTAGATAAATGTTTGATTAGTTTCATTTTAGAATGAAGTTATGCTATTGGGATATGTAAGATATTAAGTTGATATTCATTTTGTCAGTTCTAGACAAATTAATATTTTATCACAGTTTGTCTAGTTAAAGCTACATGATTGCTTTACTTTTATAATTAAATTATGACCCAATGAAAAAATCTTTTCTAATGCCATATTTTAAACATCTCAGTCAGAGACTATTGGACAGGGAGTGTTTCTTTATGTTTGATGTTTGATTCCTGTTTCAAAAAATAAATAAAATCAAGCAGTTAAGTAGATATTAGGTGACAGCTTGCAAATTTGGTAGTAGGATTTCAGAATAGGCTAACACTTATTCTTTTCCTTTTGCTACGTTTTGTAAAGATTTTCTTAGTTTATAATTTTCTTAACTTGAAGGGATGTGTGGGAGTTTAGGGTGAGCATAATGTCAAGGAATAGTAGGGTGAAAGAAATTATTCAATATGAAGAACAGATACTATTCCATGGAGACATTTTAAAATTTTGTGCCTAAAGGATCTTTGAAATTATGTGACAGTTTGTACATCTTAACATTATAAGGCATTATGGTACTTGTAGCTTAGAATTAATTTTCTGTGAATGTACTTTATTCTATATGAATAAATAATTTGAAATGAAAATTCATAGTTTTGAAAAAAATCAAGAAGTCATATTTTTATATTCCCTAGAAAAGTAAGTCATTTTACTTACATACTCACTTACCTAACACATATTTTTGAGATTCCAGCCTTTCTGGGCTTTTTGTTTGCATGACCTCTTTTTCTAACCATTTACTTCCATCCTATTTATATCTTCCTATTTAAAGTATGTCACTCATTGGCATGTATTGTTAGACTTTTAAAAATTTATTCTGTTTATCTCTGTCTTTTAATAATAGTGTTTAGTTAATTTACATTTAACATAATCATTGATAAGGTTGGATTTAGGTCTACTATTTTACTGTGTTTGTTGTTTTTCTTATTTTTTGTTTGTTTGTTTCTCTATTCTTTTTAGCTTAATTGAATATTTTTAGAATTTCTTTTAATTCCCTATTGGCTTTTTAACTAAAAAGATTTGTATTTTTAATGGTTGCTGTAGGAATTACAGTATACAACCTTAATGTCTCAGCCTACTTTAAGTTAAAATTTTCCGACTTTTATATAATGTATAGAAATGTAAGAATGTTGTAATATGGTCACCTCTCTCTCATCCTTTATGTTATAACTGCCATATATACATCTATGTACCTTATAAACCCTATAACTGTTACAATTTTTACTTTGAATCATAATATTAAAGAAATGAAGAGGGAAAACTAGTTTTTGGTATTTATCTACATGTTTACTGTTTCTGATGCTTTTCATTCCTAATATCCAAGTTTTTATCTGGTAACACTGCCCTTCAGCCTGAAGAAATTCTTTTAGCATTACTTGCAGTATGTGTCTGCTAGTGACACTTTTGCCTTCACTATTAAAGGGTATTTTTGTTGGATGTGGAATTTTGGATGCATAGTTATAAGAGACCCTGGATTTTGTAAGGTTCCCTCTCAAGAATATTGTTATATTTTAACACACAGTTAACCTTGCTGAACTCACTTTTGCAAACTCCATCTTTCCTATGGTGAGCAGCAGCTGAAATCTCAATTCTGTTCTTTTTGCCTTAGTTGGGCTGTTAGGAGTCTGCCCCTGTGTGTGCATAATTTTAGGGGTCAACCAGAGGCTTGAGCAGAGTTTACACACAGAATTTAGGGGTTCCTCTTTTGTGGCTTTCTCCTTTCTGGAAACTAAATATAGAGTCAAGAAATTGATCCACATATACATGGTCAGTTGACTTGCAACAAAGGTGCAAAGCCAGTTTAATGAAGAAAAGATTACCTTTTCAACATATGGTGCTGAGGCAATCAGATATCCTTATGTCAAAAAGAAAACCAGAAAACTTTGATTCAGATCTCACAGCATATGTAAAAATTAACCCAAAGTGGATTGTAGACTTAAATGTAAAACAAAAACTGTAAAATATCTAAAAGAAAACATAAGAGATAATCTTTGTGACCTTGGGTTAATCAAAGATTTCCTAGCTTCAACACTAAAAACATGATCCATAAAAGAAAAAATTGATAAATTGGACTTCATCGAATTCAAAACATCCATTCTTTACAAAACACTATTATGAGCATAGAAAGATAAGCCATTGTTGCAAGTTACATATCTGATACAGGTCTTTTGTCCAGAATATATAAAGAACTCTCAAAACGATAAGAAAATAAACTACCTAATTTTAAAAATGAAAATATTCGATCGGATACTTAACCAAAGATACACATATAGCAAGCACATTAAAAGATGCTCAACATCATTAGAGAAATGCAAATTAAAACCACAATGAAATACCACTGTAATTCACTGCTGGTAAGAATGCAAAATGGCACAACCACTTTGGAAAACAGTTTGCTAGTTTCTTTAAAATTTGAACATGCAGCTGCCATATGATTCAACCCTTTCATTTCTAGATATTTACCCAAGAGAAGTAAAAGCATGTATCCATATAAATACTTGTACAAGAATGTTCATAGCATCTTTATTTTCTATTAAGTAAGAACTGTAAACAACTCAAATGTCTACCAATAGATAAATGGATAAACAAACTATGGTATGAAATGCTACTGAGCAGGCAACACTTTTATCAAATGTTTTGCCACTGCATAATATGGACCACCATCCTTCTAGCTTCCCATAGTAGTTTTCTTGCTGGCCACCACTCAGCCTCTAAGCCAGTGTCACATATTTAGGGTTTTTGTTGTGTCTTTGGCACTTTAGTTACTGATTTCTCTGTCAATTAGGTTAATTTATAGCAGTTAAGATAGATTTTCAAGCCAGACTGCTTTTTTATTTTCATCAGCATTAGTTGCCTTTTGTCTCATCTTAGGGTGCATTAAAACCTTTAATGACACCAATAACTATAACTTCTCTTTACACTATACTAAAAAATTGTACAAAATACTTTCAACTTTTATTTATCTAGTTGTTAGGTGGGAAATATATTATATCTGTGTGTTGTACAAGGAACCTGAAGTCCAGAGACGGCAGCTATCACACAGCAGTGAAACTGAACTAGAACCAAGGGATCCCATTTTAATACTTTTGTGTAAATTAGAGAAAAATAAATGTACCACGTGCTTACACATTCTTTATTTTGACAGTCTTTTCAACAGACCACGTTTAAGAGGTGTCTCGGACTCCCTATTGCCAGTGGCTGGAACACAATGGATCACACAGGGGCACTAGACACTGAGGATGAATTGGGACCTTTAGCCCATCTTGCTCCAAGTCCTCAAAGTGAAGCCGTTGCTCATGAATTCCAGGAACTCTCCTTGCAGTCCAGTCAATACTTACCCCCTCTGAATGAAAGGAAGAATGGTGAGTTCTTCAGCATGTGCTATGGGGACTTTGATTTGAAGATTAACCTTTTTGTGAGCCCAATTTATTTTTCTTTGGTATTTTTTTTTTTTTTTTGCCAGTTACATTTGACAGTCTGTCACACAGGAGAGAGCCTATAGGGGTACTACCTGATTTTGAGTAATAGGCAGATTTTCATTTTCCATCCAATTCTTCCATTATTTCCCCAGTGTCTTTAGTAGCAACATTCTCTTTGGAAATGAGCTTTAGATTCAACCATTTTAACACCAGCAGCAGATTTCATGCTAGAATGGTATTGGAAAGTAGCTTCTTGTGGTGATTCCAGGGAAGATAGATTGTGGAATTAAATAGATTTCCTTCCCAATTTTCCCATCTCCAATGTGTTGCAGCTCAATTTCAGAATTGGCAGAATTTGAGCTATCTTAATGATCACTAAGAAAACAAGGGTGTTTTATTTGAGTATTTTTTATATTAATCGGTATAAGATATGGCCATATTTCCAGTCCTTGGCTGGCTCATCCTTGTATATAAAATAAATATTTTCTATGTATTTGTTATCTGTTCAGGAAATTTTCATTGATCACAGAGGCATCCCAGAGTTTCCAGAAAACACAATACTGCCAATTTTTAACATAAATGGAGAGAGATGATATAACGTAATACTTAAAACATAAAAACTAACAAATATAAAATATTAAAATTTACACATATGCATATTAAAAGTGCAGAATTAAGAATTTTCAGCTGGATTTATTGTGCTTTTCTCACTTCTGATAAGCCTTATATTCACAAATATATTTTTTTAATTTCACTTTTAAAAGAAAGAAAAGTTTCCCTGTAGAACACTTCCATATGTACTAGGTTGTTATTTTTCTGTTTCCTAGTGTTTCCCAATTCTTTTCATTATTGGCCTTATCTTATTTAGGAAAATGGATAAAAGATATACATACCCTACTAGTCTTAGTTTTTTAATACATGTCTTTGGAGTATAACTTGCTCTCCCTTCAAATAAGATATCTGATTCTTATATGTGATACTTGCTGTTAGGCACAGCCCTTGTGCAGTTTAATTGGTATACAGCAATATTTTGGCTAAGGTGCTGCCAAAGCCTTCATGAAGCTGGGGTTGACGGATGATGGCTTTAGAACCTTCCATCAGCTAGGGCCTAGCTTTATCTTAGTGGTTGAGAGAGAAGGATCACATTTTCTGAAACATGACTAAATGTGATCAAATTTACACAGTACACTTGGATCAGTATAATAATGCTCAAATTATTATCTGACAAAAAAGAGAGTTGAGCGGATATAAAGTTGCCCTAATATACAGTTGCTCAAGAAAGTGGTCATGTGTAGCAGAGGAGAGAAGTGAAGTGTGTGGAATAGGTTTCTACTCTGTGAGGATTTATTTGATCCAGCTCACCACATTCTCTTGCAAGAATGTTCTCTTGAGTATGTATGCCTGAATATAAGGTAAGCTCAAAGACAAGATGGTCTCTGCTTGTAAACTTTCAGGGAGGTAGATGAAATGGTAAAAGTTTTAACTAACTAATTTAGTTACATATATATAATTTAAGTCACATTTTATGAAGCAGTACAATAATATAGAAGAATTGCTTTATCCACGCTCATTTCATAAAATGAGTGTTGCTCAAGCTCTGTCCATGAATCTTTGTGGTGTTTTTATCATTGGTAGAACCTCTGCATCATCCATCTAGCATGAAAATCCAGGCTGCATCTTCATTTCTGTCTCCTTTGTTTGAGTTACAGCAGTTGTTGAATATATGCATAATCTGACACCGAAGATTTTATGTGTAAACCACAAGTATCATTTACAAAACAGTGGGGCTGCAGGGGGTTTTTTTGTATGTGTCTTATAGTTATATATTCATAATCTCTATAACATAATTACTCAGGTTTCATCTGTGATTTGTTATAATATTTTAAGGGGCTGTAGTTTCTGTTTCTGAATCTAATCCTTTTTTAAAGTAGTAATACATTCACAGAGTTTAAAAAGTAGAGATTACGAATGGGTACATGGTGAAAGGTGGGTCACCTTCCCAGTCTTGTCCCTTAGCTACCCAGTTCCTGCCCCAGAATTAGCAACTGTTCACTTGTGTCCCTTCTGGAGAATACTATTTGATGACATTTTTAAAAGCAGTTTTGAAAGTCTTTGTAACAGCATCCAACACTTTGAATGTTAAGGTTATACCCTAGGAATAATTTGTTGATTTTTTCCCTCCCACTTTTTTTTTCCTGATTCTATTAAGATATTTCTGTAAACATCCTAAAACCAGCTTCTAATGAAGTGGATTAAAAAATTTTTTAGCCTGGCGGGCATGGCTCAATGGTTGAGCATTGACCTATGAACCAAGAGGTCATGGTTCGATTCCTGGTCAGGACACATGCCCAGGTTGTGGGCTCCATCCCCAGTAGGGAGCATACAGGAGGCAGCCAATCAGTGATGTTTCTCTCTCTCTCTCTCTCTCCCTCTTCCTCTCTCTGAAATCAATAAAAAAAAGTTTTTTTTAAATATATTTTTTTAATTAAATTTGTTGGGGTGACATTGGTTAATAAAGTTGTATAGGTTTCAGGCGTACAATTCTCTGATACATCATCTGTATATTGCATTGTGTGTTTACCACCCAAAGTCAGATCTCCTTCCATCACCATATGTTTGACCCCTTTTACCCTTTACTACCTCTCCCCCAGTCCCCTTTCTCTCTGGTAACCACCATACTATTGACTGGGTCTATGAGTTATCGATTGTTTTGTTTGTTCATTTGTTACTTTCACCTTTATATCTTACATATGATTGAAATCATGTGGTTTTTGACTTTTTCTATCTGACTTATTTTGCTTAGCATGATACACTCAAAATTGATACATGTCACAAATGGCAGTATTTCATCTTTTTTATGGCTGAGTACTATCCCATTGTATATATGTACCACATTTCTTTATCCAGTCATCTATAGAAGGACACTTCAGTTGTTTCCATGTGTTGGCCACCATGAATAATGCTGCAGTGAACATAGGGCTACATACATATATCTTTACGAATAAATGTTTTACTCTTTTTGTAATTTTTTGAGGAACCTCCATGTTGTTTTCCATAGCTAATGTTTTTCTCAAATACTTTTTTGTTTACTATTAAGTAAATGAAAGAGCATCTCATAATATAAAATATTGTATAAGCACTCAAATATGAGATAATCTCCTTTTTTCTAACAAGTGACTTCAGGAAGTTAAAAACCTTACCTTATACTTAGGCATACACTCTAATTTTAGGTTTATGCTATATTAGCCTAGTTCATGTATACATTACGAAGCATAAATGGAATCCCTGTACAGCTATCAGAAGTCTAGGTTTCCGATGCAGTTATGTGAGTACATGGAATAACATATAGATGGAAGAACCATAACTTTCTTACCTTGATGCTTTTTCAAGTTTATTCTTCATTTTTTAGGTCTTCTTAATGCCATGTTTAAATCATATCATATACAAAATGTAGGTATTAGCCTAAAAGTTAATTAATACAAAGTACAGTTTAAATGCTTTGAGATAATCAGGTTTAGATATTTTCTTGATTTTTGTGTTTTGTCATTCCTAAGTATTTGAATTTCACTTGTTAGAATTATTTTCTTTTCTGTTGGGGGAAAATGATGACATTTCAATTTGGGTTTAGTGTGTAGAAGGATTATGTCACCAAATAGTTTATAAATAAACTTTACAAGGAACGTGAACTTGACATTTAAGTAATGATTCCAGGATCTCCCCTTATTTTTTATTAATATTTATGTTGGCATTGGTAGTGGATTGGCAAAATATTCCCACTACTGGAGTAAACATGATAGATGTTTAGAAAAGATAAGCTAGGGTTTCCTTTATCTGTGAATGTGGCCAAAATAATTCTGGAGTTAGTGGCACTTCAAAAGTAAGGCAACCGTTTAGGCAGTTAACTCTTCCCAACAAGTGAGTCCTTCATAAAAGGAAGTAGATATGCAGAGACACATAACTAATGTACCTTACAAGACGGTGCACACACGGGTACTGAGCTTTGTTTTGACATTTTATACACACAGCAGACTCATTTTCGTGTTTCAGTATTAACATTCCTTCAAATGGTGGGAATTAAAGGGAAATCAGTCAGGGGAAATCAGTCCTTTTATTGTTTAAATAGGAAAGCTCAGGTGCTGTAAATTGAGTGTAGCTTTATAAAAGGAAGAAAAGGCAAAGTTGATGGAGACAACATACCTGAAAGAGCTGCAGCCCCTTTGCTGGGATCCACACGTGGATGAGACGATGAAGAAGAAGCTTTTTATTCATGAGGCCATTTGCAAGACTAATCTATGCTGGTTGGTGAATTTAAGCTTTTAAGTCATTGCCAGCAGTATCATATAGTAAGCGGATAAGTAGATACAGATTCCCCTTTTATAAAACTGTTTGGTATTTCACTACTTCTTGGTATGTCTCTGAAGATGAGGCTCAATCATGTTAACACGGCCACAGATATACCAGGCCAGCTGTTAGTATTAGTGTCAAGTACGTGGCAAATAAGCACCTGCCACCTTTTTCTCTCTAAATTAACTCCTCTTCCTAAATTAACCGGCTTTTTTGAAACTGTACTTACTATGAAATAGCATGTTTTAGGCCTCAGTGAAAAGGAGACTTATTTGTTGTTCTTATTTTAAACTTTGGTATTACTAGTTACTACAGTTGTTAGGTTTTTGAGCTTATAGTCCCATCTTGAAAAGTGTTTTTCCTAAAATTTCCATCTGTTAAATTTATTACACTGAACAGTTTTAGACCATCTCCTGTTCTTACTAGAAAGAAAATAATTTATTCAAAAGTCTGTTGCACACAAGGGAATACAGGGTGGCTCTTTGTGTTGCATCCAATATGGTATTAATTCATTCGCAAACAGTCACATGAACTTTGCCTCACCATGGAACCCAGCCAAAAAGACTGCCTGCCCTGTACCATGGAAAATAAATGGCACA